ATATATATATATATATATATATATATATGCATCAACATCCTAGTGTCTCTAGAACAAACCATAGACCCATGGGCACAAAGCACGCGCTCTCTCACCCGTAATGTTTGGGATATCTGCGTTGGTGTCGATATTAACCGACCTAGCAGTCTGTCCGTACGAATTAGGGGTCAACACGTATCCACTCTGTAGGGCTTTGAAGTAGTATTGGTCCTGTAATCAGTTTTGTTTGTGTGTGAAGTGAGTTTGAACAGGGCAATGATAAGGGCCAATATAACTGCTATCTGAATATTATGAAAGCACTAGGCAGAACATCACACGTAATTAATAGCTGAGTCCATAGAGATGTGCCAAAACCATGGAGCCCAAAAACCCTACATATCCACGAGCAATCGATTATATAGTAAATTCTGAGCCTCTGAAATACTAACGTCTTAGTATGTGTGTGCCGACTCATACAAATGAATGGAAGGGTTTAGGGTTTTAGAGTTTACACACCATAGGAGCAGTTAATGGGACAGATTTGTTTCGAATGTGACAACCTTATAGTCAATACAACCATTTTATCGCTGCTGTAACGATCGTTCAGTTAAAGCGACTATACTAACGCGCTGATGTCACCAATATATAGTTCATGGGAAAGGTTTATCGCTGCTGTGACAGTTAAAGTGACTATACTAACGATAAAAATATTGATCCTCAAAACTAAAACACTGTGAAATTGAGTACTGACACGTACGTCGACTGTTGTTAACCAACTCACATGTTGTCGTAATGTCCGTGACCGTTGACATGCCAAAATTGGTCGGGTGGAAAGATACGTCCCCTGTCTCGTATACCTGGCCAGATAAGATAGCACAGTAACGAACAGGCCTGTACTAAACAAGCTCATACCTCCACGTTGTACTGTTCCAAAGGATCGAAGCTCTCGTGGATTACCTCTCCCGTCGCCTGCACGCGCACTTGTTTGTGCCCCCCCATGAGCGTCCCATTCTTCCTCCACGGATGGACGATTTGTATCAGCATGACACTACAACGACCAGAGAAGTGCGCGCGCGCGCGTGTGTGTGTGTGTGCATATCCATGCAAATATGTTTGTTTTCATATGCTTATGCTACGCAGGACATCATAAATCATTAATCGCCTTGTCACCCACATGTCGAATGTTTTAATACATAGCGCAGTCTAACGTAACATCACCTAAGCGACAGATATTAATCACACTGCCACAGTTTGCGACATTCCACAGCGAGTTTACGACACTTACTTGGTACCGTCTGTATTCAGGCCCTGGTAGACAGTGTTGAGAAAGTAGTCTTGTTGCTTAGGATACAGAAGCAGCACCATATTCAACTCAACGAACCCCGACGGTCCCATAAACGGAGCCATAGGTGAGTACCTGTTACCAAATAAGGTGCGGCACATGGGCAGGCCTAAACACACAGCCCCTAAGGCATCCACAGACGTGTGCACCTGAGCTAGTCCTTTGAGGAGATCGTCGTTTATGAACAAGATGGTTTGTTCCATTATCTGAGGGGGATTGGGAGAGAGAGAGACGTACACACAGGTGTGTGTGTGAGTACACGACAAAGGATCCGCACTTATATGTATGCAGACGCAGAAATAAGTATGTGTGTGTATTTGTAAGTATGGTGGGATAGATATATACTCGGGAAAAGCGCAGGTAATTGTACAGTGAGCGAGAGAGATGCACGCTAGACAGAATGCAGCGAATATATGTACGGCACACTATGAATTAACTAAGGTAGTCTGAACTATACACAGAGCGTCATGATGGTGAGATATGCATGGTATATTTACAGGTATATGTGAAACACTCTGCTATGTATAAAGATAATGAGATAATGAGATATACATGATATATATATATATCTATATACACATGTGGACTACAATGCATTGTAAAGATAATGAGATATACATATGATATATATATATATATATGAAATACTATTAGTAAAGATAACGAGATATACATATGATAT